GGCGGCGGTGATGCGCTGGTGCCGCCTATCGCGCTGCTCGGACATGACAACCCGGCGGCACCTGCGGATCAGCCGGTGCCGTTATTTGCTAAGGCGGCCGGTGCAAGTGTTTTCTTGCGTCGTTAACACGGAATTCACACGGTGTTTGAGGATATCCCAAAGACGTTTTTTTGCATGAGGCACTGCAGTGCTGTGACTGCCGTCGGACTGAAATTCTGCTCGGCTGTAACTCCCCGGCAAGCCAGCACCGGGATCCCCGCGGGGACAGGAGTTAGATTGCAGTGTCCTCTAGCGGAGCGTGGGCCGAAGGGAATGTACAAGAGGGTTTTAGGACAGCAGCACTTGGATTTGTTTCTGCTAACGATTTCTACCAAAGAAGCCTAGTTAAAGAAGCCATTATTTTAAACGGAACAAGTATTTTCACCTATCTGCCCAGCGATAAAAGTGAAGTTCTGTAGCTATAGCAATACAAGCAGACCGGGATTTCAGACTCTATTCAAGAGCAGGCTGTATCTCTATCTAGAATACTAGACTGGGGAATGAAATAAAGACGGGTCATTAAAACAGGAAGATAGTGAAGTCATGTGAGAAACGCAAACGTTAGAAGATGCTGCACAGATGTCTATGAAATAAGAAAATAATGTCAGTATAATTCAAAATATGTCCTGATTTAAAGCCTCCCCCACTCTGGATGTGAACAAGAATCCCTGGAATTCTTTGTACATTCAACCACAATATTGTCTGTCTTGAGTTGTCTCATTGTTCAGATTAAATGCTGCCTTGATATAATTTCTTCCATTTGTTTAGTATGATCTAAGGAGTTTGACAGTGTGCACAGGCAGACCTCTGATGAAAAGTCTGCATGTCACAGGCTGCCAGGGTGATTCTCAAACTGGGGAACGTTTCCTTAAGTGATATTTTTTTCAAGGCCAGGTTGGATGGGGCTTTGAGCAACTTGGTCTAGTGGAAGGGGCCCCTGCCCACGGCAGGGGGGTTGGAAGTAGATGATCTTTAAGGTCCCTTCCAACCCAAACCATTCTATGATTCTGTGATTCTATGATTTTCAAGGGGAGATACCTGTCGCGTACCTTGGAAAGAGAAGGTGTCGCCAGGGCACCAGCAAGGGCTGAACAGGGATTGCAGCTGGGGGGGAGTGACTTGGGGAGGGAAAGAGGGGAAGTATGGAAAACATCTGAAGGGGGCATCAGAAAAAGTCCATTTGTTGTGCTTTTCTCCTTTACAACATTCTCATTTCTCTACGTATCTACATATAGACACATATACACTCGTATATGATGGATTCTTGCCCTTTTAATACCTACCCTTAAAAAGGAAAAGGTGTTATCCTTTTAAAAAGTCATTTTTATTCTAAAGCATGTCAAACGTCACATAGACGTTTACAGGTGGTGAGCTTGTTTTACAGTACTGAATGGTTTAATTTTCTAAAGTGGTTTCTAATCCTGTGGTCTCTGATTTTTTGAGTGTCTCTTTCTAGATATCTGATTTCTAAGATACTGATTTTATTTGGAGATGTAGATGCTAACTGGCACAAGGTCAGAGTAGCATGAAATGCAAACCTTGAAGCAATTGAAATTTCATGCTACTCTTGAAAGTGTGGGCCTCGACACTTTCATATCAAAAAATAATTAAATAAGTTTCTGTAAAGCCACAGAAAAAATAAGCTGTTTTTACTGAACGGCATTCTTGCTCTTTGGAGTATGCTTTGTGTTCGTGGCATGGGTCATGTACATATGTATATGCAACGGGGAATGTTTCTTTCTTCTGCTCCAGAATACAAACCCCGATTTGTTCATACTCGTCAAACCCGGTCCTTATCTGTGGAATTTGAAGGTGAAATATATGACATAAATCTTGAAGAGGAAGAACTGCAGGTGTTAAAGACCAAAAGTATCACCAAGCGTCACAATGCTGAAAATGAGGACGAAGCAGAGGAAACTGATGGTGCTCCTGGTGACGCAATGATCGCTGATGGCACTGATGCTATAGGTCAACCCAACTCTGTCAGAGTGACACACAAGTACAACTGCTTTTTCTGTGTTTTTTTTCCTTAAAATGAAATCTTTGTTTTCTAATTGTATTGTCCCTCTTTCAATTTTTTACGATTTTATGGTTACAATATTTAAGAACTTAAAACTATCGCTGTATATTTTAGATAAAGCTGAGTTGTTTGTTAGTAGGTGGAATCATTTAACTTCAGCATGTGTATTTTAAAGGGAGGCATCTAGTTTAGATTTTATTTCTGAGGAGGGATAGGCATCTCCAGAGGGAGATTCATCCTCTGTATTGAAACATGCATCTTATGATGGATTAATCACCCTGTGAAGCTGACACTCCTGCTGTTCTTTATAAAGTCTAGGCCACCAGCTTAGCATAAAGGCCTAAATTTGAGAGGACTGAAAGCCCACACTAAATGAGGATGGATTAGATCAGTTACATCATCTTTCTTAATGCTTAGTTGTTTGCAGCCAGTAATATTAGCTAAGATACATTAGACCTGTTAATCCCTGAAGAGACCCACAATCGTTTTTCCATCCTGGAAGACGCTTAGATTTCAATTTTTAGCCCTGCACTAAATCTGAATGAAAAGGCAAAAATCTCAAAATATTTTTTATTTTAAAAAAGCTAATATGATTGATCTGAAAAGCCAGGCAGATGCAGGCAATAAAAATCTTCTATTTTATCCTTTTTATTGTGTTTAAAAGATAAAAAAATGTAAATAACGTTTCTCTCTTTTCTTTTCTTCTTTTTTTTTTTTAACATCAAGGAAAACATAAAAGTTAATTTTGAATAAGTAAAACTTATCCTTTTTTTACATTTATAATTTCCAACCATGGCATTAATAAAGCCTTTAATAGCTTTCTGGAAAAGTTATTATTTCTCCATAAAGTGTTTTGACTTTTACTGAATACAGTATTGTTTTCAGAATTCTGTGAGTGAAGAAAAAAACATAATGGGACAACATGGGAAGATAAGCATCTAAATCTTCCTTTCTGCTATTCTTCTCAAAAATTAAAAGAATGGTTCTGATGAAGCAGAACACAAGAAAGGTTGTCTCTATAAAATTGGAATATTTCTGTAATTAAGGAATTTCTGTTTGTCAGCATGGAGACTTTGAAAGCCTGTAGTCTGCTGGATTTTCTATCTCCGTCCACCTCCTTGTCCTTCCACGTGCTTTTTTTCTCTTGGTAGAGCTGTTTTTTCAAACAGTGGTATGAACATTTTTGTCATTGCATCACTTTTTAACTTGAATGTTCTGTTGGCTTTTTTTTAACCACTTGTTTGAACTCTTTGCTCTAACTTCGATTCTTACTGATCTTTACTGATTATATTGATCTTTAGCCCATTGACTGTATGTTCTGTTCTTGACTATTTTGCATACTTGGAAGATGGGTCACATTCATGTGGCAAGAGGAATATATTTCTCAGGATGTGGTGGTTAAATAAGCAATAGCACGTTTAGTTAAGAGGCTTTAAATTCTGAACAGATTTTTATTTCCGTTTCAATTTCATTTCTGATTGGATTAAGAGTCTCCAAGATGGCTGTGCCACTGCATTTTTGCTTAGCAGGCACAGTGCATCTGTCATGGATGAGGATTTTTTTTTTTTATTTTGCAGAGAAAACAGATTGAAGCAATTATTAATATTATTAAGTCAACATAAGAAGACCCTGTAGAGTTTATTTATTTCTTAACAGAGTCTAACAAAGAATTGATTAGGAATGTTGGAAGAAAGAGAAGAAATGGGTAGGCAATTGGGAAACCACTGACCTTCTTCTTCCTATTTGTTAAACTCATGTCTACAGATGTTTTATTCTTCCAAATGACACTATTCACTGTGAGAGGGAGCTGTACCAATCCGCGAGAGCCTGGAAGGACCACAAGGCTTACATTGATAAGGAGGTAAGAGATATTTTAAAATCTGAGTGAAGTCTTTGCACTGCTACCTTTTCAAAGAATAATTCTGACTTGGAAATATTCTCTGCAGATTGAGGCTCTCCAAGACAAAATTAAGAATTTGAGGGAAGTTAGAGGACACCTAAAAAGAAGAAAACCAGATGAATGTGACTGTAGTAAACAGAGGTAAGAGAGATGACATTCAACACTGAAAGCTGCACCGATTGCTCAGGCTTACACACTTTCCAAGTTTTTTGAGGTGGAAAAGAAAGTACATAAGCTTTATTGATGTTTATAACCACTGTAGGGACTCATTTTAGTTAGATCGCTTTTAAGAGTAGAAACTACTGTGAATCAAAAGAAGATAAATGTAAACATTTTAAGATTAAATATGTTTGTATTCCACTAACATATTTGAACCCAGATGTAGTTTTGCTATAATCTAGCATAGGATCACTCACACAGATATAACTTCTTTAAATGAAGTGAAAATCATAAGTTATTCTGTGTAGTTCTTTAAGAAAATATCAAAGATGGTATGTTTCTGGTTTGTTTTTGTGTTGAAAATCATTTCATGACTTGATAATTCCTAATAATTTTCCCTGTAGCTATTACAACAAAGAGAAAGGGGTAAAGGCCCAAGAGAAACTCAAGAGCCATCTTCATCCCTTCAAGTAAGATTGTTATTATCCTCTCACTCTCTCAGCTGGCTTTTTGGTGACTGGAGAAATATAATTTTTTGGGTTTTGGCTTTTTTTATGTGGAGAGGGGAAGGGAGGAGGCAAGGGGAAGAAAAGGTCACATATAGCAAGCTCTCACAAGAAGTCTTCAGCAGTTTTGGACAGACTTGTGGAAGTTTATGGGTAATATTTTTAAAACCTATTGATAGAAAATGGATGAAATTAATCATTTCAGAAGCTGATCGACCTCACAATTGTTAAAAAGATCCAGTTAAACCTAAATGCAACAGTGCATCATTTCTCATGCTTACTGAAGAGAATACCTTCGTCATAACAACTGGGGTGGAAGCTGAGCTAGAAGAGGGGCATATTCTCATCTTCTCATCTTTAAAAGAGCCAGAAAGATGTAAAAACTGCTAATGCTGTTGTTAACCAAATAGAGACTGTTCTTTGTTAGCCATGCCCAACTTTCTTTCTGAACAGAGAAGCAGCACAAGAAGTGGATGGCAAACTGCAGCTGTTCAAAGAAAACCGGAGAAGGAAGAAGGAAAGGAAGGGGAAAAAGCGCCAGAAGAAAGGAGACGAGTGTAGCCTTCCTGGGCTGACATGTTTTACCCACGACAACAACCACTGGCAAACAGCACCGTTCTGGAGCTGTAAGTCTTAACCTCCACATGCAGACGTGATCTAGGCTATCCTCTGCTGTGTTACAGAGTTTTCACTTCATGCAATCAGAGCACTATTTTGAAGAACTGGCACTTAGTAGTGCTGCTGCTGCTGTTATTCTGAAGTATGAAGGAAGAATGTCACTTGAGTATGTCTGTAATTGTGGCATTACTTATTTATATGAAATTATCACAAGAGGGTCGATGCTAAACACTGCAGAAACAAAAAGGAGAGTTGGCCTCTAAAACATAGACTTTCGTAACCAGCCACTGAGATTTGTGTCATCTCTTGGAGATCAAGATGACCAAATATTTAACAGGAATTTCAATTGGGTTTCCAGTTATTAATAATAATCTTATTCTTGCAATTGTCACAAATCCTTTTTGGGACTTGACCTTTAATGTTGTCACAAACTTCAGCACATAAAATGTCTACTTTAATTTTATCATTTTGATTTCCAAGTATATCATAAAAAACTTACCTTATCGTGAAGAAAATACAGATACTATCCCTTATGAATTCTTCTCATTATGCCCATTTTTTTATATTCTAAAAGAATTTAAAAATCACAACTGTGGAATGCTCACCTGGTATATAAGAACAAAATATTAGAGCTAGAAAATATTTTAAGTTCCTTTAAACTTCAGGGTATATAGATAACCATCCTACTGAGGCATGCTTCAACATTTCTTGGTATTCAGCATTAACAAAACAAGACCTTTCTCATCTTTGGTGGGGGGGGAAGAAAAGTGATTGAAAACTTTACTTTCAAAAACTTAAAGATCAAATGGTGGTTAAGTTACAACATACTTGACTCCAAGCAGAAAATTTGCTAAAAACAATTTTTCATTTGGAGAAAGAAGTTGTCTCCCAGTGATAATCTGTTCTGATTGCACTAGGACTTCTGTTAATATGCTTTTTACATTTTAAGATGTTCCTAAAGCAGTCATATGCATGATTTTTGTTTTAAAGACAACAATTAAATTGGCTTATTACTTTTTAACTGTGGAGTAACAAACAGTTATGAAAAGCGTTCTCATATTGCTGTGCATTCTGGCAATGCTCCAGCAACAGTCATGGTGTAAAGAAAAGTCCCTTTGGCACAGTCCATAACTTAAAGAAGAGCTAACGTATTGATTCACATTACACAGATAAAAAGGTCCAATACCATTACTATTTTTATGAAGTTTGTTCAAAACATTGATACCGTTACAGCTAGTCACAGTACTAGTAACATCTAAATAAATCTAAATAAAAATCTAAGGCAATATTAATATTTTATTACTGAAATTAAAGAGACATTCTTCTATAGCAAAACTTTGTTAGCAGTTTGTTTGAAAATTAAGAGAGATACCTTTCTTACAGCCTTTTCGGCTGGCAGAACAAGATTATAGACAAGATATACCCAGGTCTCCTCTGTGGCTGCTCCCATCACTGTGACACCCAGATCCAGGTGTCTTCAGTCTGGAGTGGAAGCCTGCTCTAGGTTTCCCCAGGTTGAAAAGTGAAAACAAGATGTACTCCAGTTACACTGCTTGGGATTGTCCTACAAAGGCCTGACTGAGTGCTTCAATTTCCCTCTTATTTGTGTATCAAATAAATGAAATGAGGGATTGCAGTTCAAAATAATAGTTAAGTGGAAAACTCAAGCCAGTAAGGGAGAGCTGCTTAAAATGAGGCACAGGATTATCAATTGGTCTTCCTTCTCAACTTGGTTCTTCCATCTTTCCTGCATTCAAGGTGCCGGGCAAGCTCCCTGCTTGCAAACCCATCTCTTCATTGCCTAATCTCTCTCACTTGCCTCATTCCCGTACACTGCCTCGACCTTTCTTGACTGCTGTGTCATTTCCATCTCACTCATGATATCAACTAGCAATTTGACCTTCCTCTGTAGTGCTTATAATTCTGTAATTTTCTGTTGTACTTGCATCTCGGAGGCTCTAAGTTAAGGTTACTTACTGTTGGGGGAAACAGTATCCTTACATGTAGTAAGCAATTCCAAGGAATCCTGTATACAAATCTTAAGGATCAGGATTTGTGTTGTCTTTTTGTAAAGTCTGAATTCTGCTCAATCCCAATAAACCTTATATAACTCAGAACAGAATATGCCTCATTAACTATAGGATTCGCTATCTTCTCTTTTCATTAACTGTATGTTTGTGAAAATTACATGTTAGCAACATTTATTCTGTTTCAGATGAGACTCTAAGATTATTCAAATAGAGGATTTTTTAAAAATTGATCTAGAATTTAAGTACCTGAAAACCTATAGAAGTTTCACTAGTAGAAGAAACAAGCATATTATTTTTTACTGAAAACTAATAACTTGTTTCTTTAATTACAGTGGGCTCTTTCTGTGCTTGCACAAGCTCGAATAACAACACCTATTGGTGCTTGCGAACAGTTAATGACACCCACAATTTCCTCTTTTGTGAGTTTGCGACTGGCTTCTTAGAATATTTTGATATGAACACTGATCCCTATCAGGTAAACCCCTTTCCCTGTTACAAAATGTTGTTCACCAGACTTCTCTAGGGGTTTTTTATTTCTGTTAACGAGTATTTTTTCCCTCCATTCCTCTTTTTCTCAGCTGACGAATACAGTACATACAGTGGAAAGAGGCATTTTGAATCAATTACATATACAGCTAATGGAACTGCGAAGTTGTCAAGGCTATAAGCAATGCAATCCGAGGCCGAAGGGACTTGAAACAGGTACAAGAAAAATAGAAGTGTTTATTTCCGTTTTATTCATTTTTTTTCATCTGCTTAAGCACTAATTGTATCCATGAATTGTCGCTCTCCTAAGTGTTGCTCTGAGTAGTTTGGAATGATCCACATACACCATCCTGCACAACCGCATGACCAAGAAGCTCCTTTGCAAGTTTGCACAGATTATTCTAGACAGATATTGATGGCAAACAACGAGATTTGACAGAAATGTTGCAGAAATGTTATCATGTTATTTGAGCTCGTCAATAACAAGCATATGCAGATCTTTCATAGTCATAACTCTTTTCTCTGTTGCAGGGTTTATTTGGTTAGGTTTTGTCTCCCAGTAGCAGGTGAGGTATTAAATCCTGTGTTTATTCCAGTTGCTGTTTGTCTATATGAACAACCTCAGGCTCTACACCACAACTGAGACGTAACATTGCAAACTTCTAATCAGCAGTAGTCCCCCCCATTTTTGAGGAAAGCAGTAGTACTTTACAACAGTCTCCGAGTAGAGAAATAGCTGGTATTTATACTTCATAACTCTGGAATTCATTGCACTTAAATTTGGTTGATTGAATATTGTGATTTTTTTTACAGGAATATTCCGTTCTACATAATTTGTGGTGTTGCATCTTTGTACCTCTTTCTTCAGCTACAAATGTTTCTCTTTTTTAGAATATCTAATTGTTTGGGGGTTTTATTACTTTTGAAAAACTGTGGTTTTTCAGTTCCTTTATATAAAACTTCCAGGAAATCTTTGTTGGACTGCAGCTCTGTCTTTATTTAACACAGTACATTTCTTTTTAGGAATTAGACGCTGTGCATGGAAAACTACATTGTGAATGGTTTTACAAGTTCTAAACACTAACAAAAGTTACTCTTGTATTTTCCTATATCAGGAAATAAAGATGGAGGAAGCTATGATCCACACAGGTATCCACACTTTTTTATTCTTCTCAGCAGCTTCTTTCCAAATAATTGCATGACTCCAGTCCATTTCAACTAATGTCTGTATCCTGCCATGTTGCACACAGCATAGCTTTTGATGCATGCATTTTCTAACTACTTTACACTGAACTTGGCCATTGTTTTTTAGATCTACCATTCTGCATTTAACGTAGCTCATTGTCATAGCAAGACTTCATACAGCTCATATTCCATGCCTGTATTTCTTAGATGTTTACACAGGGAAAATGACACAAAAAGAATCACTTCTTTTGGGTTGTTTTCCTGTTGCTGGGTTGATTTTGAATGGGTTGGGGTTTTTTTCTGGTTTTATTTAGGAAGTCTGTACAGCTGCTTTTTAAACGTAAACCAAATGTGCTTAAAAAGCTTTCTGAGGTATATGTATCCAAAGAGCCTAATCAACCTATGGCAGTAAAGTAAAATCTTCTCACTGGCTTTAGGAAATGTTGGCAGATGCTGCTTTAAGCAAAAGCAGTGCTCAATGTGAGCAGCATGTGCTCAGAAGCCAGCAGGAGACAGGTCAATATAAGTATGGTAGAAAGATAAGGCTCCTTGGGGTAGGGGGGCCGACGCTTTCAGACCAGATCACACACGCGTGAAACGAAATTTCTTCAAAAGATTGTAATATTTGAACTGGGGAAGAGCACCAGGTGAGGGTTTTTATACCTAATGCTTGAACCTGAGGAATACATGAAAGACTGATGTTTGCAAGTATATTTATCTGTTTGCAAGTGTACTTATCGTACCTACGTGTTTATCATGCAGAGCCCGGTTCCTCCTGGTGGAGTAACCAGTCAAACATAAAGCAAAAGCCTGAAGAGACTGAAAAACCTCAGTTCTTAACAGTACTGCACTTGCTGCTCATTGAGCAATACCTGTACTCAGGGTGAAAAACAGGTTAAAGTCAAGTGTCATATTTAGACTTGATACCTTTTCATGGTACATCAGTTTTATACATTTTCTTCTCCATGTGCTTTGGTGGATTATCTCCTGATATACATTGTTTACCTGAGATGTAAACTGGGTCCAAGGAATATACAAGTCTACATAAAACTTTTTTCCACAGGGTCTTCTGAAAAGAACCTTGTCATTAGCTCCCAGCAGCCAGGGAACAATTCAGATAAAGTATTTCAATGTTTTATAGATCTCCAATTTAAGCAGCTAATTTTTCCTTGCAGCCAATTTTTTGTTTTCTCACTTGAGTAATTTTGGGACCTAAGAAAACGATAAGCTTTCGTTTGGTTATATCCCAGTTGTTTGCGTTGCTCATTACAGCCTGGTGGGAACTGGTTACTACAATGATAGAAGGTAGTCCCTGTAATTATGCTTTTAAGTCTTTCATTAGAAGACGTCCTTGTAAGCATTCCTCATTTTAACTAGAGATGTAACAGAAATGGCATTTTTGAATTGTAGGATTGCATGAAATAGTAGAGCACACAGGATTAATCTTTCAATTATATCTTGCTACACTGTTTGGTAATGAAAACATTTTAACTTCTGATACCAAGTCAATAAACATTATGCTACTGGGATAAATAGCAGGTATAGTATAAGACAAGTGATACTGCTCTCTGCCATTACATTCCAGACACCCAGTTTCTCAATATACACAGATGCCTGGGTTCAACATTTTGGTTCAAGCCCCATCTTGGTGGAAATTGGTTTTCTCTTCTAAAACAGAAAGAATGTTTTATATTAACAAAAACCATTTATCAGGAATCATTAGAACAATCTCTTAGAGGATCCTTTTCTTGATGCCTGCAGAGAAACCAGCGGAATAAGAAAGGGAAAGTCCTATGCTGCTAAATCATCTGAAATACGCCTTAGGCTTCCTTCAGATCGTTTAGTTCATCCACTCAGACCTGTTTCCAGTTCAAAATGTCCTGAGTTAGTACCGTGCTACAGGTGTTACAAGTACAATATTGAGACAACAGGTCTGTATGGAAACAGCCGGTATAGTGCTGTTTGCTTAACACCTAGGGAGAGAGCTTCAGTGGGGAAGAACTCGTGTCACCTGTGTCCTTTGATGGACCGAACAATTCTGCAGACATGGTTGACAACAGGATGTGGGAATTGCACACTCCTTTCTCCTCTCCTGCTTGTCTGAGGTTTTTCAAAGCCGCCAAGGAGATGATTGTACCTACTTGTCTTTAGTCTCAGAGGAGATATATCCAGATCCCTTATTAGTTTTGAGACAACGCAGCCACAAATGGCATCATGGGACTCTGGGGTATGATAATTGGAGAGTGAGTCTTGATTTTTAAAAATTGGAAGATATTTTACTGTGAACAGTTAGCAACAATTTTTCTCTCTTTTGGGTCTATGACATAGCTGACAGATTCCAAAATATTGATCAAGGAAACCACTGCCATGCTGTTACTCGAATGCATCTGCACTTTCCCATTTCACACCTATTTGTAATGAGATTTCTTACAGGGGAAGACCTTTTCTTTCCTCTCTCCTTCCCACTGTATGCTTTGATTTCAGTGGGAAACTTTTCATGCTTACTGCTAAGTTGTGGAATTAAGCTGTGAGGTGACTCAACCAACCAACCAACATACAGCCAGCTCTAGGACCTTAAGAGTTTGCTTTCCTATTTGTTTAACATGTATGAATACAAGTTACCTCTGTCCCATGTGTTCAAACACGTTATTTTTTCTGCTTGACATGAAGATCATTGAACAATTCTCAGTGCCTTCCCAGCTGTGAAACTCCTCCGAGACTGCAGAAACAGTGCCGCATTTAGAGGGGAAAAAATAGATCCAGCACGAAGGACCATGTAGCTCTGACTCAGCCTTTGAGCTCTTTTGTAGGAATACAGCAAACTCCTTGCTGATCTTACTTCGCTGCAGCGCCCGTTGCCCCGCTGCTGAGGCTGATGGAAAACCCTGCTCCTCTTCGCTGGCCCCCCAGACCTCCCCACCGCCCACCCTGACACTCAGGCTTGGCCGGCTCGACCCCCTGTCCCACTGCCTGGGACAGGCAGCAGAGGCTCCTCTGGGCCCAAAGGCACCTTTCTGGCCCCTGCTTTGCCCTCCGCTGCCCTGGTCCATCCCCAGACCTGTCACTGGTCAAACGGCAGCACTCCAGTTTCAGTTTCTGCTATCACACACCAAACCGCTTCGGCCACCGACTTTCCTACAGGCTCTGATTTGGCAAAGAAAAAGACATATGAAACTATCAGTACAAATAATAACAGAGCAAAATTTAAAGATTGTTGCATTTGCAGTGTGGTTAATATCTTAGAGGGTTTGGTGACTAAATTCCTCAAAAATGCATCCCTTCGTATGATGTTTTCTAGGGCCCTTTATACCTCTAAGCGCTGGAATAGTAAGACTTTTTTTTTCTTGAAACCTCTGCACTATTTAATTATTTTTTGTTTCAGGAAACAAATTGTCCATAATTTGTCTTACGAAGATGGCTCTCATGTGGCCATAACATGATTTTTATTTCTCTTGTCTACTTCAGGAAAAGAAAGAAGGAAGACGCTCTGTCATAGCTGTCCTATCAGATCCAAAAGCTTGTGTTGCCTCCTGTAATAGGGAGTTTGCCAAGTGTTTGCAAAAAAAAAATTTCTAAAACTTGCTTTAAAAAAAAAAAAGATATTTAAATTTTACATTGTAAAATATTTACAGCTGTTGTATTAAGTGAAAAAATATCAATTAAGATCAAAGATTCAGGTGTTTCCAAGTAAGGAAAGTGGTCTCCCTCTGGTGCAGAATAAGGCCCCTCATCATAAGAAAATATCAAGTTTTTTTCTGACCATAATGGTGTTTTTCTGACTTTCCATATGGTGGACTAAATAGTGGAGAAATTCTTTCCACTGTGAAATCCCAAGCTAGTAAAGAAGCAAAGAAAATAAGCTATGATAGATACAAGTTGTATCTTCTGTTTTACTTGAACAATGAGAAAGGCCAAGTTAAAATGCAAACAAATTAATGGAGATGCCAAGGACCCACTGTAGGGATGAAGGGTTCAATATAGATAAATATTTGTGCTCAGTTCACGCTGTTGGACTACAGCCACTTGAACTTCCAAGGTAATTACTACTACCCTACCTGCCTGTACAATTTTCAGAGAGTAAGTCATCTCAGTGAACTAATTACTAAATATTGCCTACAGCATCATTTGCAAGGACAAATTTGCCACTTTCCCTGACAGGCTTTTGCATTACCTGATTAGTTTTTCTTTGTAATTCACTTTGTTGATAAAATCTTTGGACTGAACACAGTCTGCGCAGTGAATTAAATGAAATAGTGGTGTTCAGTGTTACTTGTCAATATAAAATTTCACACTCCATTTGATAATCTGGGTCACTATAGTCGCTGTAGTGACTTTGAAAAATCTTTTGGCAATGGGTTTCCTTCATGTCTTTGCTTTTTCTGGCTGTGATCAATATAAAATGCAGCCCCATTGCTACTTATAGACTCGTATGTATGCCCTTTATTCAAACTTATTATTTGATAAAGCTGTTAGACATTTTCTTTGAAAGCTTTTTTTTTTAATTAAAAAAAAGAAAACCTTTAGGAGGTTCTGTATCTATGTATATTTTAACACTATTTTACGGAGTGGTGCAGTCCTATAAATTAATTCACACCAAGTTCTTGCAGCTTTTATTTCTCATAATTGCTCCATGTAAATTAAAATGAATGTTTACAAAGTAAATAAAATACTACCTTTGGCTGTCATTTATTAAATAACATATGGCTGGTTAGTTTGTAGACCATATGCCTCAAGCTACCCAGACACCAAATTGCTGTGGGCGTTGTTGAAGTTCAGGTCACTACTGGCTTTCAGAGTTAGTCCTATTTTTTATACTTAACCATTGTTCATTTATTCTGTATTTTGGTGGAGTGTTCAGGAAAGGCGAATGGATTATTCGTATACTGAAGCATCTTTCCTGCCCTGAAATATCAGAGGAAAGATTTGCCTCTGACTGTCATCACAAAGCCCCATTAGACCAGAGTTTGCTCTTTTTTACTCAGTCTAAGGATGTAGCAGAAGACAGGGAGTTTCTTGCTGTGTGTTCAGCAGGAGCTCTGAACACACCTGAGCCCAGGATCATTAATATGATGACAGAAGATGTGGAGCGTCTTACATTTTGAGCTACATACATTGTGAATAGCGGTGCTTTCAAGCAAATTGGAGCAGAAACACACATGGAAGCTTTGCTTGCACTTTTAAGCTGGTGTTCACCATTAGGCTTTATTCTTTCTTTCAACAGAGGACAGTTATGGGATGGATGGGAAGGCTAACCTGCCCAATTTCACTGGCGACATCGACTGGCAAGGACTGGAAGACTTGTACAGTGTGAATGAAAGTGTATATGAATACAGATACAACTATAGACTTAGTCTGGCTGACTGGACTAATTACTTGAAGGATGTAGATAGAATGTTTGCACTGCTGAACAGTTACTACCAGCAAAATAAAACAGACAAGGCTAACACTGCTCGAAGCAACGGGGACGGGGATGAATCATCCACGCCGTTTACCTTGGTGGAAATGACTTCTGCTGAAGAATCAAGCGGCCTGCCCGCAGAAGAGTTGCAGCTTATTGTGCCAACGGACTTGGCAGCCCTCGCTTTGAGCACAGTGAATTTAAGTCAGGAGAGGAAACTTGAATTAAACAATGATATTCCTGAGAAAAGTAGTTTGAATGGCGCACACTGGAGAAATAATCATCAAGCTGAAAAATGGATGGAGGATAAAGAATCGGACCGTTTTGATATGGATTTCAGTGGAAACGGTTTGATAGAGTTGGAGTCCCGGCATAGCTTCATGCTACAACCCATCAGCATTCCTCAAAAAGACACTCATCAGGACAGTGATGCTATGGAAGATGCATTTGAAGATCAAATATATCTTCCCGTGAGGTCTGATGAAACCCTCGTTCATCAGGCTGTAAACGTATCCATTAAGGACTCATCTATCGGTACCCAGAAAACAGGAACTTTCTTAAAAAAAACGGAACAGAGTCTTGCAGGGGAAACTTCACAAATCCTAAATGTAGAAGGCAGTGCCTCAGCTCCACTCTCCTCGGATTAGATCAAGTTGTAAACCATTAAATAAGTTCTCCTTTTTCTTATTAGCAAACTAATAAAGGTAATCATGGCAACTGACACTTCATGTTTATTGTAGATACGTTTTGCAGCTAAATTGAGCCCAGTTCAGTATTTGTCTGTGAGCATTTGTTTTATTCACACGCAAATATTTTCACAGTAATTCTCCCCACTGGGAAGCAAGATTTCCAGTTTTTGATGAAAAGAAACAGTGTTAATTTTCAAATGCAGTAGCACATTCTCCGAAAGCTAAAAATTATTTCTTTGAAAAGGATGTTCAAGTTACTTTCTCTATTTCCAAATGATCCCACCATTAATGAATGTTTCAGTCCACCCAATCTGTCTGCATAATGTCTTTTTCATAAATTATTTTAACCACTGGAAATTCCTAATGTCACGCTTTTGAGTAAAATGCACTTTTAAAATCTGTATGCCATACCATTTATGAATCTAACACCTTACATGTTCTTAGTTTGCTCATTGTCTCATGTAATTGTGAAACCAATAAATAGATGGACAGGAAAGAGGTAACAAGCATGGATTGTGGAAACAGACTCTGAATATTATTTTTGCAAAAATATTGCATGGTTTTGTTACTTTGATTTAATTAAATTTACTCTCAGAAAGGTATGGCTAATGATTGTTAACTGTAGGAGGATTTGTTTAAATTGGATTGTGTCCCTATATGTTGATATTGTCAGTATTAAAAATCCATGAGGTTTTTTGACTTTTTTTTTTTTTTTTGCTGATACTGGTAGAAAGGTTCACATCAATACATATACGCTTTTGTCACCGCATCTGATTTTTATTATCCCAAACAATATCTTGAAAGCATTATTAGAATTTTGAGACTTAAATTCTTTTTGTTTTGTTTTGAACAGGCCTTAAAGGGAATGATAAAATCATGTTAGATTTACATTAGTCTAGATACAAAAGGCACATGAGGTAAAAAATAGTAGTTTAGATAATTTTTGTTGTGGTATTCTAAATTTTTTCTTGAACTTTACCAAACATTAAATTTTATAAAGTATAATGCAAAAATGACTTTGAAAATCTGTATTACTCAAAACTTAATATCCTCCCTTGCTTTTTATAAATTTCTAAATAATTAGCACAACAACAACAAAAGAGAATTACCTCAAACAGATGTAATTCCATAGTGTCCAATTCACGGGTGTGTTTCCTATCTGTTACATGTTATTTAGTGTAGTGAGTATTTTTTGGCTATTGCAAGCACTGCAGGTTAAACTTACATTCATTGCATTGTATTTTAAGTTGAAACTTTTTAAAAAGGAGATTCTTTTAGTAGGATTTTAATAATTTTAAGAAGCAGTCTTTTTGATGGACTCTGTACATATGTTAAAATTACTAGCTCTTTATCTGATGTATGTGTCGTGGGCTGATTGATAGAAAAACATATTTATGGTCATGAATGATGCTATTTGTACATAGGTTTTAAGTTACTAGGATACAGACTGTGTTTTTAAATCTTGTATAATATTTCTGTGATACTTTTATAGAACAATTCTGGCTTCGGGAAAGTCTAGAAGCAATATTTCTTGAAATAAAAAGTGTTTTACTTTACCTGCTTCAGACAAGTCCAGATGATCCAGTTTTCCTCCTAATTAAGATTTCTTTTAAAAATACGTTAATAGTTTCAGTTTTAAGAATCCATCCACATTTAAAGCAATGGGTAACTAAATAACACACTACATTCTGTTAGCTATAAATTATTCCTGGAGATTGTGAATAATATATATTTTTTGTTTAAGACATGCTGTGATTTTTTATTTTTTTTAATTCCCAATTCATCTGATCCCTTCTTCCTTGAAGTCAGTGCACCGAGCTGCACAACCAGCAGTTCCCAGAAGTAAAGCAATGTTACAGGGTGCCATCCCCTGCTTTGCCGCTTTTTTAAAAATACGCGGAGCTCTCCCTGCGGAGCTCTCCCTGCGACAGCAAAGCACAGCAGACTGGACACGCAGGGCTTAACGGAGAGGGGACCACAGATCCCTAGTCAGGAGGAGTGTTTCCTCGCAAAAGTCTTCCCAAAAGGGAATTTAGCTTTCAAGGTAACCGCTCTCTTACTTGCACTCTACGTTTCTTTGGTGGCCTGTGAATAAGATTAGCTTCATAAGCTAAAATCGGCCTCCGAAGCTATGCTTCTGGATCTCTTCTTTCTTCTACACAGTCCTTGGACACCGATGCTCCTGCAGACATGAAGTTACAGGTGATGTTTGTGGGAATCGGGAAAGAGGACCAATGGCTAACCTAAGTGCTCAAAAATCAGTCGTTGCAATGCTAGATAGACCCCTGAGAGATGCCTACCCCTGGAAAGCACACTGGCAAACACAGGATGTATTTCAAAACAGGGTGCCGAGCAGGCTGAGCCAGCAAGTTTGGGAGGACTTTAAGGACAAAGACAAGTTGGAGCAAGGTCCCATACAGCTACCTCTCATATCTTTGTGCGGGGAATTACCCAGCACCAACCACGTGCCCTCCATTCTTTGAAAGTGCATTTCTTTGAAAGAACCAAGCAAGATGCTTTATTCTCTCTTAACGCCTGGGTAGAGATAGAGAAGGGAACGGTGCAACAGTGTGGTCCACCCATTCACCCCACTTGTCCTTTCTCCTTACCTGACAGCTTGAAGTACTCACTCAGGAAACAGAAGAGAGCGCATCCTCCTCAGCTCGAAAGTGGTCAACCTTCCTTCTTCCAGGACAGCGCCCTATCCTCAAAACTATCTTCCTTCTTCCAGGACAGCGCCCTATCCTCCAAACTATCAGATAGTTTAGGTGGGAGCCTTTTTTACAGCTCTCTTATAGGAGTGGGGAGGGAAAAAAATTAAAAAGAGACTTATTCTGTAGCTAAGAGGTACAGGGAGCAATGAGCTCTGATCCTTGCTTTCTGGCAACATGCATCAAATATTAAACCCGCCCAAAGGTAAGGGGCCAAAAGCTGTCATGTCCCTAAGTAGGTGTCCTAAGCAGCATGTTGCTATATTTGGCATTTCTTTCTGTACAAGTACTTCTTGTCCCGCAGCTGAGGCAGTCGAGTCCATATGCAGTGACTGTCCATGGCGTGACTGTCAGGAAGCTCTTACAGGCATCAGGCAGCTGCAGGCTCAGGAGGAAAACAAATGCCTAAATCTGACTTCATAGGCAAGTGCTCCTCACAGCAGGCAAGTGGAGGCCTGAGAGGAGGACCTTCTTGGCTTTTTCTGATCTGCAAAATAATGGCAGGTGTGTCTTTTTTAAAAGGCAGTACACAGTTATCTACTTTCTGAAGAGGGCCTGGAGCTGGACAGGAATAACTTTAAGGCTTGCACATCTTTGGGAGGTGTCGTTATTTGAAATGCTTGCTCTGGGATTTGAAAGAAGGCAGCCAGTACTGCCCTCACACCCTTGGTCTGTGTGAGACGCTTTCCGAGACCTTTTACCAACTTAAAGCCTTCAAGAAAAGCAAAGGTTGGCAATGCTTCGTTTCCAGAACTTCAGACATGAGTTAGTTGCTGTTATGGGCAGGTAAATCCTCTTGGTCCTGAAGTGTTAATGCACGCAAACAGCTAAAAAAAAAAATTAAGGCTTTTGCGTAACATTTGCATTATAGCATCATTCTGGAGTTCAGGTTTATTTGACAGCTGAGTGAAGGGTTTTTCAGAGTGCAGGTCTGGGCATAGACACCCCCCACTCTCCCCACTAAAATCCCTTTAGATGCCTGCAGCTGTCTGCATTGGCAGTCACGGAAGCACAGTGGAAGAGGCTCTGTGTGGTGAAACAGTTGGGGCTGAGAAACCAAGAGCTGCAGCAACCCTCTTCAGGGAGGATTCGCTCAGGACTGGTCTTGAGGCCCGAGAACCCCATGGGTGGCTGGTGCCCACTAGGTGTGACGCTATAATAAAACTTCCTCCTTTAGTTTCAGCAAAAAACAATCCAGTCTGTGTGCTCTGACACCACTTCGCAGTGAGAACTGACGTGCAGTAAGTGGGCTACAAGCAGGAGAGTCATTTAAAAACATATGTCCCACTTGAAGGGACACAATCACAGCCTGAGCCACCTCGGAGCTGCCTGGGGTAATTTTACTCCCGCTCAGGCAGCAGATGTCAGTGCAGAGCCACACATCAGTGCCTCTCCTTGGCCCCTGCACCACCCAGCTGTGCTTCCTACCCCTGCCCAGATAGCTCATTTATTCAGTTTTCAACTAGCAACAATACCCTGGATGTGCTGGAAATCTACTGATGATAATTTCATCCACAGCACATTCCTTGGTTTAACAGTTCTAGTCTCGGACACTGGTGACGTTCAGGGAGATCTGCAAGATGCTTTTTTGTGTGGTTATATGTATTGGAAATGAAAACGGATAAGTCTTACTTTGAACTTGGAAGTCAGAGAATCTGGACTGCATAGATTTCTCTGCCGTCCATGAAACGGCAGCTCCTCCCTGGTTGCGCACATCGGCTGAAGCTGCACCGCTGGCTGAGGACTCAAATCTGTTAGGTGCTGTGCACACCACCACAGTTTCTCTAGTCTGAAACCAAATGCACTTACATACCTCAGAAAGACAAGCCGTGTCCTGAATCAATGCGAACTCAGCTGCTCCGTGGCAGCAAAGTTTTGTTTGGTTATTGCTGGAGTGTGGGAGCTCATAGTATTCACAGTACACCAAGCAGCGAGGACGTTTCATAGAAACAAGCCACTGGTTATCCAGCCATGAAACATGCACTACACGTCAAAATACTTTCAGTATAAAGGCTCAATAATGAAACATGTCTAGAAAAATATATTCAACTTCAACCTGCTGTTCTTTTGATCTTGAAAGACCTGTCTCTGCCTCGAGACAGAATTTCCATCCGAGGATACATCTATACTTTTAAATAAAAGTGAGTCCAGAGAGTAGAAAACTTAGCTCCAAAACCAAATTGTATGAACAAGGTCACATCCACACTGCTAGACCAGGCTGGCCCCGTCCACATTATGTAGCGCTTAACCCTGGGTCTCCCCTTGGCTCTGTGCCGATATTCCTGTGGACCCAAAATAAGCAATTTCCAATTGTTTCCATTTTTAAATGTCTGTGGTAATACAGGATCTGTGTTGCAACCACTAGAGCTCTTACGGTGTGGTACCGCGGTGTGTCCTGCAGCCCCTGCGGGGTTGCATGAGGACGTGGGGGTCCCTGACGCACACAGCCCGTGGGTTTGGGTGGCTGCGGGAACCGGGGGAACCAAACCTGGCTCAGCCACTTCTGATATGTGGGAGGTCTCTGTGGCATAGCCCTTCCCCACAAACCAAATGGAGGTAGTTTGTTGGCGTGGTCCAAATCAGAGCCAAGGAGCGAACTAAGCACTAAGCAGTGTGGACATCAGGAGTCCAGTCCTTGGGTTCATGCCCTGGCCCTCTTTTATTGAGCAGTGTAGATGCACATAGACTCGTACCCTATGTATTTTTTCCAACTGTCAATATCTATTTCAAACAAATTTGTGTTTCTTAGCACATAACTAATATCAATCAAATTTAGTGCTAGAGGAAACTGTGGAATTTTACAGTTTATTTCTGCACGATCAATACTCAGTTGTGATTCGGTGGTCACTGAATTCAGTGGAAAGATTTGGTTTTGTCTGACTACGTGCTAAAAGACCAAATACTTCATCACCTGATCCAGAATGATTGCACAGCGACCCACGTACCTTTTTTGTTGCTTTTTTTTTTTGTCAGAAATAAAACACACTTGATATGCTATTTTTTATTTCCAAATATCAAGTATTCAAGAGTTTGCTTTGTAAACACATGTTTACAACAGATGCTGACAATAGATTTCATTAAATGATGTGTTACACAGCTTTAAAATTATTCTAAGCTCTGCCGAGAAATAAATATCAATTAAAAAACCCCATACAGGAGGCTAAAGTATGCAAAACAAACCGCATAAACCAATTAGTCTCTTTTTACCACAGCACAGCACCCACACACTCATACAGTCAGACATACTCTACAGATTTCCTTAATACTCTACACATTTGCTTAATAATGAGTTTTTTAAAAACTAAACAGTTACAGGCAGTGTGCCCACTCCATGCTCCTAACATACTACCCAGACTATTCTGTTGCTCTTCTGCCTAAATCGTTTGGTAGAGGTATGCACTGCAGCCAAGGGCAAAGCTCCCGTTAGCTCGACTGGGGAAAAGAGCAGGTCGTCTTTGAGGAACGTCTTCACTCAACCATGGATCACACTGACTCCAAATTCTTTTTTTTTTGGTACCAAAACTCAGTTCCGGATGATTTTGTACATTTTTTTGGTTTGTTTTGAAAATTCCCTCCATGTTTTCAAATACGGAATTTGTTAAAGAGGTAAAATTTCTGACCTATCAGTCGGAGGTGTACCTCTTAGTGCTATTTAGGATATAGATGCCTTCTCTGCATGAGCAGTCCAGGCACAATAACTCAAAATAATTACCTTTCAGAATTCAAAATGGAAGGGAAAAATTTTGTCTTCAGGATTTTAAAACCAAACCCCTCTGTTTTAAATTGTTGCTCACTTTAAAGTTGACCAGATTTGGCCTTTTTCCATTGCTAGAGCTAGAACTTGCTCTTATTCTACCCTTCTTTTTCTGGTATTCCACGGAAGAACATTAGTATTTCAGATCTGAATCCTCCATTTAATTCAAACGCTTACTGACGCTGCTTGGTTAAGGGGTCCCAGAATTTAGCCCAGTGTTTCTTGTCATTACTATAGAATTTATTTTCAGCCTCTGCTTAAGCATAGCCACTAAATAAAGTAAGACTCTACAGCAGGATGAATACATCCTACATGAGATTTCTGTGGTCTGTGTGGTCTGTGTAGCTTTTACCTTAGCTGTTAGCATTGGGCCAAATCCTGTACTGCCTCCTGAAATTACTTTCCCACAGAAGAGCTAGGTAGGAATTGGCCCACCAGGAATTACAAACACTGTCTTTGCTGGAGCTGTCCAGACTTTAAGAACAAAAACACATGCAGTTGTATCATTGACATGCCTTGAATATGTCATTTAAGTCATAGTGAATACATCATAAAATACTTCAGTACCTATTAGCACCACAGTGTTGTTTAGTCATTTGTCCAAAGATTATCAAGCTGTCTCACCCTCCCTCGAGGTGAACAATGTTTTGGATGCTTTTTGTAGCCCTTCATGAATTCCACAGCTTTTCACCTATTCTGTATCATGAACAAAACGTTGTTACAGGATAACGTTGTGACAACTGGTTTGAGATAGAAAAAATAAGAAAATACAGTACACACAACGGATAATGTAATGATTAGAAGAGTAGAATGGAACCTGAATAAATAAGCATCTATTTCGTAACACTTGAAACCAAGAAAAGCTTGGAGCTGCTTCGAACTTGCAGAGCTACGTCTGTGTTTAAAAGGCTGTATTAAGTCAAAAGAAAATAGCTTATCTGAAGGACTGGAGGGGGGTTGCTAAAAACTACAGTTATTAACTGTAGTTAATGTAATGGATATGGCTACGGGATATGGATAGTGTTAGCTGTCCTCCTTAACTTATGTAATATATTCTGTGGAAAGGATAGGGAAAATTTCCTTCCTGAGGATCAGGTAGGCTTTCAAACCTTTGGCCACATAATAACATGTATTAGTGATATTCAGTGTAAAGAAGATGAACCATGTGAACCCTGGCGATACCTAGCCCCCACGCTGAAGGCTCCACATCTCTACTCTGTGACGATGTTTACATGTAACTTTTTTGAATTGTTATTTGTAAAACAAGATGTTATAAGAAAAAAAGAAAGCCCAATTCTATACCAAAGAATTAATCTACCACATGATGTCGACTGTCCATCTTCTAAGCACTCTAAAGGATAAAAATGTCTATAAAATCAAGTCCAATATGTGAAGAACCCGAAATGTGTTGGTACAGGTTTAACCTACAAGGGGCAAACACTCTGTCTAAAGCAATGCCAATTCAGATTCAGTCCAGGTAAATCTCTGTTACCAGGTGTTTTAAGCCCCTGGAAAGCAACCACAGCTGGATGGCTTCAGCTGGGGGAATGCAGACACTGCAGCATGCAGCATGGCATCTCCTATGCCATTATAAAAGACACATTATTGAGAAAACAGAAAAAGATAAACTTGTTTAGAAAGTATTTTGTCTTTGATCTCTGAAAACAGTAGTAGTAACCAGTGAACAGAGTATAAAAGCTAAACAAGCACTTGATATCACTTAGTTCACACATGCTTGCTAAAGCGCCAGCTTGTTAACGTCCAACCCAAGGTACTGGCCCAGTTTTTCAGCCTCATCATCGGACTGATGAGGCTGAGAATCTGGCTGCAAAATAGCAGTAAGACACTTTGGACCTATTTATCATCAGTTTTATGTCAATATAACACTTCAAAGAGCTGTGGTATTACACACACAGAAAGTGTAGTAAGGCAGCAATAATTCAGGCATTTAGGGGGAAAACCCGCAAGAACAGTACAGAAGGTGCTGACCCCTCTCTCAGCCATGCTGTCTGGAGTTACATAGAGCAGGCAGCGCTCTGCTCTGTTTGCGTGGGAAAATTTGTCATCTGAACCTCTAGGTCCAAATTCTGTGAAAGGGCACAATCCGAACCTACAGCATTACTTGAGCAATTTCATTGGCTTCAAGGTCAGAAAGACGCCCTTATTTAATCTACCTCCCCACGTAACGCACATATTTTCAGCCAGAAATTCATAAAATAAGTGAATGGCAGGAAGAGCTAAAATGTGTCTTTGAGCATGTCCACAAAATATTTTGAATTTGAATTCTATTTGAAAATGAAAGCTTTCCTCCATTGCCAGATATATAAGTAGCCACATGTGAATGCCACAGGGGAGTTCTCGAGTGCTGCTTTGTGCTATTCTGCTTACAATGATCACTGAATCCATGGGGGAAAAAAACTCAGCACGGAAATTACTCTTTGGGTAAAGGAACTCCTTTTTGAATGCAGATGGGATTCAGTCCAATACTTACAGACATGCGTTATTTTTAATTGCATTACTTAGGTGTATAAACTTACACACATATTTAAGTGTTCTGCTGGATCAGAGCCATAATGAGTGGTTAACGCTATGAATTAATAAGCTATATTTAAAAAAAAAAAGAAAACAGATTTTTGAAAACACTGCACTCAATTGTTTGTAACTAATTTAGGGCCTTTCAAACTTACATTTCTAATACCTAGGAGGAGATTTGTGCCCCTATTCACTTACAGAACCGCAAGTTCTGAGGAACTGCATGTTACTACATGCACTTTTAAAGATACAATGGCTGGTCAAAGAACTGAAAGTTTCCAATTAAATATAAATTGCACTATAATATTCAACATGTTTCTTGCAGCTGCTCACACTGTACTGAAAGTATATAAAACGCCACCAGTTCCAAATTATACCATATTATATCCAGTATGCTCATGGGGAAGAAGGGGGACCACAACCACAGGGCTTTTGCCTAGAACTGGAAATACGGAGAGTCCCACTCTCCAGATATTCCAGCCCCCTAAAGCTCTACAAACCATCTCCTGAGGGTGCTGCACTCATAAGCACCCAAGGCCATGGCTACGCCCTTTCTGAAATTTTCCCCTTTTTGAGGAAACAAGGATGAAAGGGAGGCTAAGCAGGGACGATTACCTGTTCAGTCAAGTCCATATATCGGGGCTACTTCTCCTCTTATGTCCCTCACTCTAAATCAGGAATAAGTGGTGCAAGAGGAAATTAATCTGCCCTTGTGATGGCACTTGGTGGACTTGTAAATAATCGCCGGGTGTTGTTGCTCCGTATTATCCCTGGCTGGTTAACGGCAGGTAGATGACTTGGGTTTGCTACCGATAGCAGCCTGTGGGTGAGCAGGACCCCTGCTTTACATTTTCTTGTACTCGCTGCTATCCAGCCTTTAGTGTTCGGGGGTAGAGAGGGAAGGTGGCAGAAATTACAAGTTAATGGAATTTTATATTTTATGGTCAGAGGATTTCACAGCAGGAAGACAGCATGGCCACCCTCACCGGGTGACAGATAAAGCTCCTTTTTTCTTCTTGTGAGTCAGTTTAGCACCACACGTCGCTCATGACTACTGCTAGGGATGCACACAATTTCTCTGGCGATTCTGCTTCCTTCAGCAATGACAACCTCAGAAAATAGTGTTTGTTCAGCAGGTCTCAGTCTGTATTTCAGTCAACGCTGACAATGTTGGAATTGACTTCTCTAGGAAGTTAATGTGTTTCCCCTGCGTGCCTTTATTGGCTTAGTTTAGTCTGTTATAGCTTACTCACAATAAAGCCTCCTTCGGGAATCAATCAAAAACTGGCCAGAGGTTGGGTTTTCCTTCTTTCAGAGAATGCTGATTTAATTAAGTGATTTTGTAGAAATATATTCATATTGTCAAAATTATCTATATCCAAAAATGCTAACAAATTTGTTTGAAAAGTAACAAATTACTTTTTGTTTTGCATATAATTTTGAAAGGAAAATTAAAAGGCTATTGAAAGTACGTAAACAAGGCCTTTTCAGTATTTCCAAAGTGAACATCTTTCCTTCTACATTCCAGTTTCTCAAACGTTTCTAAAAATGAATGTTTTTAGAAGTTGAAGTGTTAGGATTTCCTAAAAAACAGGTGATCTTCATTCCAACAAGCTCTGAATTCCCTTGAAATCAGCTCAGAAGCAGCAGCAGTTGCAGATGTGTCACTTCTATCACTCTCATTCTTTGCCATCAGTGCCAGCTCCCGACAATCCTACAAGCCTCATTTGCTCTCCCTTGTTATTCACATGGAACCAAAGTGCACACAAGGCATGAAAAAGATCAGGATAAATGGTTCATCTCCAGCCTTTTACAATTCCCTAAATGCTCTGTTTCTGAGGTATTTGAAAAGATTGTCGTTCTTCACCTCACCCCGTGATGATTAAAATGGATGGGTGATGGGCTGCAATTACACTTTGTCCTACTACTTTGCCTCGATTTTTGCCATGGCAGGAAATTCCTGGTGCAAGAAGCATTTGAGACCGGAGCAAAAGGAAACATTTTTATCATCTATTCTGATCTCCTATGGCAAAAAAAAAATATACCAAATACCTTTGAGCCAAGGAAATTTATTTCTCGGGATGAGAAGTGTAGAAGCTAGTATCTCAGGTGGCACATGCTGACTGAGGATGTATTCTACCTGGTGGCTGCACAAGAGAAAAAAAAATTCTCAGGCTTGACCCCAAAAAGCTATTAATATGTCCAGAATAGCAGGAGGTGATTAAAACGATATTCCTCTACGTTGTAGTTTGGGGTAGAAGCATCTGAGTTTGCAGACAGAGAGAGGAGGAATCGTTACAAGCCACATAAATGGACTGAGACATTCTGAAGTAAGCAGCCACCATTTCAAGCAGGGGAACCAGGCCCGTGGCTAGTCCCATGTGCCGGTCAAGATGAGCCAGGAGACAAGGAAGGGCAGCCGGCAAAGGAGGAGAGGGAAATCTGCTCTTCCCAGGACAACTCAATGGATGCCAAGGAGAGTACTACCTTTAATTTCAAGGACTTGGTTCCATATAATGTTTGATCACCTTACATATTATAAATTAAAAATTAAACCAGGAGTAACTCTGTTCAAAAATATGTAGAAGTTCTGCTCTTTCCCATCTATTTTCACGCAAGCTCTCTACGTGGCAAAATCCAAACCTGACTATCACTGAGTCCTCTTAAAAGACCACTTTTAATTTCCTAAACTTCTAAGACTTTCCCTGCAGGGCAAAATACAGCTTTGACTTCCTAGTGTTCACCTGAAATCATTCTCTGCCCTTTGAGACATCATTAGTACATCATAAGCATGGCACCACAAAGCCTCCAGAGCAAGAAATGAAATGCCAAGTACACTTGATTAGAAAGTCTTAGCATCTCCTGGGGAGAAAACACACTAGTAATTTGGAATAAGCAAAGGCCACATCACGTCCCGTGGGTCCACGCTTGCAGACAATTTCTATTCTTAGCTCTTCCCCTGGAAGGGCGAAGGAGAGACGACTCACCCTTTGCCATCACAGAAGCTTTCAATGAAGCTGAGAAAAGGAAAGGTGGCCACGTGTGGGACAAACCATACAACTAGGACCTCCAGGCCTGTCCCACCAGCCTGCCCAGCACTGCCCAGCACCGGGCAGCGGGAGAGGCAGAAGTGGGGCAGAAATGAGAGGGACCCAGTGTCTGAGCCGGCACCCCCTCCCCAGTTGTCCTCGGTGGCGGGGAGCACAGCACCCTGGCAGTGCCAGGAGTGGAGGGGAAAGCCTCGAACCAGGCACTGCGGCGGGCAGGCTGCTTGCAGCCCACTTGAAGGGTGTCTCTGCTCACTCCTGCAGCAGGTAGCGAGTGGCACCAACCCGAGCCCCGTGCCGCCGGCTGCGAGGGGCCCACCGGGTCCTAGGCGGCTGCTCAGACACGAAATGAGGCCATCAGCTCTCCCTGGAGATTATTTCACCAAAGCTGAACTAGACTGGCACGCGTTTCTGAAGGACAGCCAAGCTCTTCCTATCAAGCTATAACTGGTTATTTTCTTCTTCAGGAAAAGTACGGATTTGGCGCTAGCAATGGCCACCCAAATAACTGTCTGTATCATTACAGAAATATGCACATATCTGCTCTGTTATGTGTGTTTGATTTCTACATCTTAATGTTATTACAAATTAATACTGAAGTTTTTTACTCCAAGCATTATACTCTCCTAGCCTGTGTACTTTGTGAAGAATGACTACATCCCATCAAATGAAAATTAATGTACATTTTCACAGGATAAAGGTATTATGACTCAACATTTGCAAACATTACCTGATTCATAACTTCTGTATGGCTTAACATGTTATTAACAGTACTTTAAACCTTATGTTCTTTTTTAATTTAATGCTTATGTCTGAAAATAGCGCCTTTCAAATTCAGTTGCAGTAATGTCTTTAAAAGCAAACTTTAAACTTAATTTGCTGCACATACAATTATCCAAATAAGTTGCATAGTTTAATTAACTTCAGTTGTGCTTTGTAGCAGAACTCACAGTAATTACTCAACTCTTAAAAATATGATTTGTGGATGTGAAGTTGACGATACATTTAAGCATCTTTGTGACGTCTAGACATCAATGATATGAGTTTTTGTCACTCTTCCACTGACTTCTGCTGTTCATAATACCTCACCCTTACACTGATATTAGATCAGAGCATGGACATTTAATGGACACATTTGAAATAATTACAAACACAATTTTTAAAACTCCATGGTCGGGAGGGGAGAAATAAGAACTTGGGTTGGTTTGAGGTATCCAGCCCTCAGGAACATACTATGGTTGTTTGCATTAAGCTTTGTTGGTTTTATCACGTGTTACATTTAGATTAAAAATAGAAGGCACAGGTGTTTTACAAGGCGCCGTAATTAGGTCAACCAACAGAACTAAATATTACATTACCAAGCCAGGGGTCTATATCTCAGCAGTGACTTCTTCCAATGCATTTTCATTTGAGGAATTTATTGCTTCTGAAAAAGGGCCGGGGTATGTCTGTGCTACGCAGTTCATTCCTTGTGCTACACTGATGTCTCCTCGGGAACTGAAGGTAGGGCAGGATATAGTCCGTGCATAGTTTTGTTGGGGTCCAGCTTGGCCAACCATCTCACTCACAGTGTTCACCGGCGAAGCCCTCCATCTCTGTCTCTGCAGTTGCTCTTCTTTACACTTAATGGAATACCAGGCCAGGAAAATAAAAAAGAATCCCACAAACTTGAGAGCAGCTGCCAACCCAAAGTAGACAAAACGAAACGAGGTGACGTCGTATTCCCAACAAGATCCTTGTACGCCGCAATCCTGTTGCCAAAGCATGCACGTGGTGTCAATAACAGCCCCAAAATAAATTGGAGTGGGAATGTAAGCTGAAATAAAAATAGCAACAGAAATACTACATGTTAGCATATAGTGGAAGACTTCTAAAGAAACTATATGCCTTAGACAAACAGATGGAAGTTGAGAAGTTTTGAGATTTCTACACCGTTGTTCTTACGTGTAATGTAAAACATGGAAAAATGGTCAGCTGATCTTCCCACCAACACTACTTATCCCACACATGAAACATACCACAAATGGGAAAGAATTCAAGCAAAGAAGACAATGCAGCAGCACCTTACAACAAGTACTGCTTCAATCTGCCGTTCCCAGACAGCTCTTCTTGAGCCACATGTCCCCCAAAAGAAAATTCAATGTTGCTCTCAGGAATAAAATACAGGAGAGGAACAAAATATGACATTATCTCCAGAGCGCTACTTGCTGAACATCCGTTGCACATGAGCTGGGAAAGAGTGGGGGTTGCTGCTTTAGATTAAGGAGAAAAAGCCCCAAAGACTGCAAAATGTTTCTCTTACTGAAGATGCATGGAAGCGGTGAGACCACTAAAACTGTAAATTTTCTTTTGAACAGATCTTCCTCAGAAACAGACTTTAACTTCTAAGGCTGCTAAAAATGCAGCCAGCCCACTGAACGCGCCTGCATTCTCCAGAAATACAACAGCTTTAAGACAAGTCAGAAACATCCTTCCTCAAAGAAAACTTCCAGATGCAGTTATACGGGCTTCTCCTCTTGTTCTCTTAGCATAGTCCTTGCTTGCTCTAGTCACATGTTTTGTAGCAGCTGAACACCTGGAGTGTTCCTTCTAGGCAGGATTTTAGAAGTTCAAGAGCCTGAAAGAAACTACTTTGTGGAATAAAGACTTTTAACATGTACCCTTTTTGCTTTGAAACATTTGAAATTAGACATTAAGTAACAATTGCTTATTTTAAAAATGCAAAAAGCTATTGTTATTGCTGAAAGCAATAAAAATCTGTTTCTAGAAAAGAAAAAATCCTTGTAAAATAATATTTAGTAACTATTAATTTTTAAATAAAATTTGAAACTGTAAAAATGTCTCTTTCTGGGACAAAAATGTTGTTCTAGAAAGTCAGGACCAAAAAAAAAGAAAATTAAATACATTCTCAGCTACAACGTTTTCAGAAGCTATTAATTTTAGGTTCCTAATACAATCAGTCAGGCAATTAGTTGCACATTTATGGAATTTTAGTACTTTTATGGTACATTTAAGCCGAACATGGCGAGCCTTTATGGAAACGCTGAGTAACTGTAAAACTTACCAAGAGTTCGTAATAAAACAAACTGCATTCCTAGTGCAAAGGGCCGCTCCCCATCTTCCACAGACCTAGCAGGCAAAAAGAAAACTCCTCTGAAGAAACAGCCATAACAAATAAGCATTGTGGTATGTTCTGGCTCTACCTCCTGGGTTTTTTCCTGAGCTATAAAAAATCTTTTCTAAATTTCTTCCGTTTAGCTTCTAATTTCGTTAACTCTCATTTCTAGGAAAAAATATAGCCAGCACCTCCTGTCCCTGTTTAATCAAAATCTCAATCAGGCCTTTTAACCTTTCTTTACCTGTGTAAGGCCTGAAGAATTTGATCTAAACTCATTAAGGAAATTTGGAGAATCCATCCAAAACGTTTACGGCTTCTCATGATAGTTTCCTATTATTTCGTATAATGTCTTGCTTTATTTTCTTAATCTTTTTCAGATAAATTAGAATTAATGGAGAATTAAGTTGCTGAAAGCTGGACTCAGCTTCTGAATTTAACAGATCTCTGCGTAGCATAAGCACTTTGGAGATACTTTAGGAAAAATATCAGTAGAAACATCCAAACAGCCTCTTTAAACACTGTTCCTTTTCAACACAAGTAATACAAGATTTCTTCCATTAGTTTCAAAGGAAAAATGTCAAGCTTTCAAAAGACTAAATACAAAGTAATGATATTCCACAATGCAACTACAATTTTAGTAAACCACAAATTTTCTTCTGATTTAAAAAATATTTTTAAGTCTTAACCTAAAGGTCTGAAATTAAGATAGGCAGCTTCTAATGACATTGAAACGTAAGATAAAAAACCACAAAAAGACTGCAGTCAAAAGGGTGCAGCTGTAAAATCAAGGTTTTGAAGTCAAGCACTCACTCCAAAATTGAGAAATCGGAGAACCAACTTGGGCCACAAATCTTGGACCGATGCGCTGTGCACAATATGTGGTTTGGGACAGTGGGTGTCACTGTTCAAGTGTGTGGGCCATCCTTTTTTTACTGAACATTAGAAAATCCTGCTGGAGACGTCCCTTATGAACCTCACTACTGTGAGGCTCACTGCAGTAGTAGTGTTCATTGATTGTAGTTTACCTTTGCATAATTGCAGTGTAATGACAATGTTTTTTTATTATTATTATTATTATTATTGTACAAGTGGAAAACCTGGAGACAGAAGGAGTAAGGTCAGAAGTCTCTGAATTATAACAGCGCTGTGCACACAGTAGTTGAGCTAAGGCTGCATGAGCAACTGCAAGTCTGACGTGCCCACTCGTGAGCGCTTGGCTTCACAGTCCTAGCAGTGATCCTTCTATCCATTTTGTAGATTTTTTGAAAAGCAAACTGGAAGACAAATTCCGCCACATGACACGGCACAGTCCTCCACGTGTCAGCAGCAGGTTCCTGCATAAACCTCAGCCGCTTGAGCTGAGAAAATGGCAGGAAGAGAGTGCTTGTCCTTGCTGGGGACGAGACACAGATGCCTGCCAGAGGGTTTCAGAGCTGTGCTCATGGCTGAGCCTAAGGAGAGCAAAGACAAGTCCTGATCTGCCCCATGTTTTCTAAGGCTCCATGACCTATTACAAAGGTTTGCCATTATTATTTTTATAGGGGAATAATTATGAGCAGCAGCAGAACATCAGTAGTCTCCGAATATCAGAGTGCAGACATAAAGACAACACTACTGGGAGAAAATCCCACTTGGTTGGGAGGACCATTCTCGCAGAAAGAAAAGGCCCGAGACTGGTTTAAAAAAAGCTCAGTTTGGAGAGAGATTTTACACAAAACCAGGTCAAAAGATGTCTGTATGTTAGCAATTAATGCAGCTCAAGGGAAGCAGATTTATACATCTAAACAGCTCGTGCTGAGGACCTGACATCTACACCACAAGCATTTCAGGTTTTGTAGGGCTTTTACTTCAGACCAGCTATAACCTGGTCCCAGGGACTGAATGTCCATTTGCATCTGGATTATTTTGGGTGTGCTTCTGAAAAGCATCTCAAGCCCTGGAACAGGCTTCCTAGAGAGGTGGTCGATGTCCCAAGCCTGTCAGTGTTTAAGAGGCATTTGGACAATGCCCTTAATAACAGGCTTTACTTTTTGGTCAGCCCTGAATTGGTCAGGCAGTTGGACTAGATGGTCATTGTAGGTCCCTTCCAACCGAACTATTCTATTCTATTCTATTCTATTCTAATTCTTCTATTCTTCTATTCTTCTATTCTTCTATTCTTCTATTCCCATTCCATTTCGTTTCATTCCATTCTAGTTCTTCTATCTTCCAGCTCATCTCCGTCAGACAGGAACTCACTTCTTGAACTCTGAGAGCTCTCCAGCTTTAGATTCAAAACCAAATCGACATCTTTAAACCATTTTTTGTCCTTCTGTTACCAGTAGAACTGATACCTATGGGTGTGCTTTGTAAATCCTGGTAAATAATTGAGTTACCTCATTTTCCTCTAATTCTTCTTCCTCCTCTTTTAACAGCAGCAACATATATCAGGAACTCACTTCTTGAACTCTGAGAGCTCTCCAGCTTTAGATTCAAAACCAAATCGACATCTTTAAACCATTTTTTGTCCTTCTGTTACCAGTAGAACTGATACCTATGGGTGTGCTTTGTAAATCCTGGTAAATAATTGAGTTACCTCATTTTCCTCTAATTCTTCTTCCTCCTCTTTTAACAGCAGCAACATATATTATACAAATACAAATTTATTTTAGCAGTAGACCATATTCTGGTTTTTTCAGCTCACTTTTCTTTAAAAATCAGACTGAAGTTCACTTACAAAGGTTCTATTTTAAATGGACAAAGATGTTATAGGGAGTGATAATGCTTATCAGACCAGATGGCAGAGATGGGAAATGCCAATCCAAAAACCTGAGCACTTTTTTTTTTTTGAATGGACAAATAAATGACACTACCTTTCCTTACAAAGACTGTGTTGTTCTCTATCCCTAAATGACCATGGTGACAACAACACAACTACAGTACAGTGCTTAAAAGTTCAAAATTCTTGTGAAGAAAAAAAGGGACGATTCAAAAATGGGCATGTGGCAGGAATGAACAATTTCAAGAAAGAAAAAAGGATAATTTTTAAATGTCCTCTCTTTTTTGAACTGGGAATGAGTCAAATACTAACTTTTTTTCATTTGCGTTTGAAAATTCAAACCACTGCTCTAAGAAGGTTGAAAATTTCTTCAGGAGTAATCATTTTCTTACAAGATGCTTTTACTTGTTCTCGCTTTATACCGCCTGGAAATTGCTGGGCACTTCCTGTTTCCTAAAGTGCATTATCATGCTACATATTCTAATTACAAGCACCCAATCCATGTCAGCCCTATTCTATTCACTTTTTAAGGACACATAAGCTCAATGTTTGGCTGCATTGCTCCACCCTCTTCTGACACAGACACTGGTGATAGCGGGCACAGCAAAAATACTTAAAGAACCATAACTAAGTTCTCACCTGAGTGTCACTATGATTGCTGACGGCTGGGCACACGCTGTTATAAGGGTAACAATGAAGAGGAATATCAGGAATGGGATAAGCGTGTTGCAGGTTCGATCACACTTCCCAGAAACAGCGTAGCCGTTCTCATTCAGGTAGGTTTTGACAATAACCAGCCGGAGCTGACTGCGCTGGCCCACCGTCGGCGGAGTGATCACCTGGCGACTCTGGACACAGGCACATTCTGTGTAATTTCTTACCTGAGGAGAGCGAAAAAGAACGTTTCCACAGGAAATACTCGTGCGAGGAAGACATTGCGCAGAGCCGTAGTACGACAGTCACATAGTACTTCTCAGTCAGGAATCTTCTGCCTCTAGCCTCATTACCCCAAGTACAAGCGAGGTTACCACTCCAAGTATTTTCAAAGCTGGTCAGGACTTCCCATGATGAGACTGCCTTTCCATTGCTTATGACTTCCACTGTTTAGGTTGAGTTTAGAAAAAATTTCTGGAAAATTTTTAGCAAATTATGCCGAAACAATTCAATCACTTCTGACAGGGAGGCTGGAGAAAAAGATTGTTTCTACCGTATTACAAAACCTGTGAAGAAACACTCTTTAAGCAGCACTGACAATGCCATATTCTGGAATTTGGCAGGCTGTCAGCTTTCATCTTCAGGAGGTGTCTTCTGCCATCTCAATGGAAGTCTACCCAGATTCAGCTAAAGAGCAACAAGCTGCACTTGGAGCCCAGGACGTTCCATCTAGATGTGGGTGTGGATGTGGATGGGATGTGGACAGGAGCAAAACCAGAGAATAAGGGGAAAACAGAGACTTAAACAGTGAGACTGGAGGACATGAAGGATTTCTGAATGGACAAAGAGGCTGAAGTTAGGATGAAGAGACTGAATAAAGAAGTGGCATTTCATAGGCAAAAGGACTGTGATTTGAGCAAGGTGAGGAAGAGTGAGATCAGAAATAGCCCCCTGTCACATCTGTTCTACGATGTTTTCATCTACTCTAAGGGGTATGGCAGATCAGAATACTCCGGCATTAGAGGGGAAACAGGTCAGGGCTCCTGTGATGTTACAGGAAGGAGTTTTTGGTTTCAATGTTTGCATTCATAAAACCTAGGACCACACATGCACAGAAGCTGCATTACAAGACCGTCTTAAGGTTGCAAATTTAAGCACTTGGCCATCAGGAAATATCCAAATTAGGGTTGCTTGTCAACTTTAATGTATACCTCTGTATGTGTTCATGTTATGACATAGCCTCACTTTTTTTTCCATGGGATTTAGCTGAACATCTTAATGTATCAATTTATCCAGTATTTTACCTCCCATTTTCAAAATGTGGTGCCAGGTATTTTTTTCCTCACACTAAACATATTCCACTACAAAGACAGAATGACTCATATTTCATATGGATTTTTCTATCACACTCATCATTATAGCTTAACTCTTTCAAAAAAGGAGTAATTTATCTTCAAAACAGTTATAAGATGAGGCACTGGTGGTGTTATCTATTTTGTAGCTAAGTAACTGAAACAGATCAAAAGTTTCAGAAATGTGGGTGGTAAATTTGAGGCAACCGGGATCCTTTTTTTTCAGAACATTTTCCATTATATAAAACTTAATATATTCTAAATGAAACTTTTTGTGCTTTCAGATACAGATTTAGGCATTCAGTGCTTCTACAAATGGCACTTCTGGTTACTGCTCATGTCCATCATCCAGAATATGAAGAATACAAAATTAATGAACAACTGGGAGAGGTTTCGTTTAAGTGACTTGCCCAACATTGCTTAGGAACGGAGGCAACGACAGACTCCAGCTTCCCAAGGCAGCACTCCACTGTCTAATATCACATGAGTATTGCTTTCTTCCTACAGTCCCTCACCTTAATCTCCATATTGCTTCCAAATAGGCATCCTACAGAAAATAGTCCTCTTTACTACACAGTCTTGGTCCATCACCACAGAAACCAAGTCTGTGCACTAAATGACACAGATATGACACAACAGAAATGCCAGAGTATAGGAATGTACATATAAAATAGGTATGAACTGTATACTGGCATCCTTTTGTCCTACTTCTAATTTTTAAGTGGTTAATTTTGAAAAAAAAACTGTGTTATAAACTTAAATCTGAATGTTATAGGTTAGCAACATTTTCTGTTATAGAGTGACACAAGCTTATGCTTGTTGTTTTTAAAAGTGCCCTACATAAATCATTATTTCATGAAGAAATGTATTTTCCTAGCAATGTCAGCCCTATTCTATTCACCATTAGCTACCGAGTTAAAACTTCAGGCCATCAAGGATCTTGTCTTAAATCGTAATAGGAAATAGTATTTTTTAAAATCTGTAGTGAAGAGTACATACTCCCAAAGTACCTCCCTACTAAATGAATTATTAGTGTCGCTTTGATATCAGGTGAAATGTAGCAAAGATTAAAACTATGTCTCAATCCAGCAAAGCACAAATAAGACTTATATAGACACTGAAAGTTAACCACAGGCTCACATCACAGGCTTTTCCAACTAGGCCAAAGCAATTTTCTATTAAAAAACAGCAAGATACTCTAAAAAACAAACCTATAAAGGAAATTAATCTGTTCTAAGTGGAATCTATGTACAAACCTTCATTTTCAGACCCTTATCCAGTCAAATCTCAGAAAGAGCAGCGCTGGACCTAACATCCTCCTGCTTCACAGGCTGGCTCAGGACTGCAAATCAGGAGACTGATACATTATAAATAAGCTTCCTGGAAAGTACAATTAAGTCCTGAGAAAATCAATGTTTACATTACTTTCTGTCTTTCTTCATTATCCTTTTTTAAAATACAGTTCCGTAACAGAAGAATTTAAGTGTTTGTCTTATGTATGAAACGAGCACAGCTATAATGCTCTGTTGATATTAAGGTGAGATCCTACCTTTCAACTGTTTTCTTGTGCTCAGTCCTGGAAACTGCCAAATTTCTATGGTATGAATTTACCAGCAGGATGCCCTTCCCCAGTCCAGCATAACTGGAAGACTGGGCTGTTAACAAGCAACGTATTTCCAAAAAAGAAAGTCGATTATTAACATCCTTCAAGTTCTGGTTACTTGAGTTCAACAAGGAACACTTAGCCTGGAGGATGTTTAGAGAAGGACTACGAGAATGGTTAAACTATTTTACAAGAGCAGAATACACAGGCAGTCTTTATCTAGCCATGCAAACAACAGACCTATCAATACAGTGGTGCAGGTGCAACAGCTACTTATGCAAAATGACAAGGCTGACACAAACACCAAGGGCTTTAAACAGGCCGTAACTAAATTTAAACAGGAGTTTAAAACACTTCCAACTACCTGAGGAGTTAAGTTCTTCCTTCCATTTGAAGAGGGAGCCAAAAAAAACCCCACACCTGCTCTCAAGAGTAAGACTGATGAGCTTGTGGAAAAGACAGTATGACATGGCTGCCTATGTTAGCAGAAAGCTGAATTAGATGACTGACTCAAGGTCCCCTCTCTGAGCCCTGCAGGAACAGCAGACACGCAGGACACTGCCATCGGAGACTTCAGAGTCTTTACTGGAAACACCAGCCCTCCCCACCCCATGGCACTTTGGACTCACTCGGCTGGAGGATTCACTTGGTACAAATGAACTTGTGCCTCAAATTTGTACATAACTGAAAGGAAGCGGGGTGGGACCATGGAATAGTAGCATTACCAGCCTTTCAAAACATGGAAAGACTCATGCACGAGTCAGCTGCAGAGCAACTTCTCTGAAGCTTAGAGAGGGATGCTTGTGCTAGAAACAGAGCATTTTTCAATCTGCATCAGTCCCGAGGGACTACTCGCGGGTTGTATGTGGGCGGGTGGGTGAAGCACTTACCCCTGTGCTATGGTTTCCACCATTGATGCAGCCAGCTAGGCAAGGATTAAAATATGTTATTCCATCTGATCCACAGACAGGCTCGTACTCATGAATCTTACATCCACAGTTAACATTACAGCTCCCAGTCAGATTCCTGTGGGCCATGGCAAGAGTGGGACTGAAGAAAGGAAAAAGAACATGCTAGTAGAGCAAGCACAGATATCCTGCTGTTCAGAGGGAGAAAACATCCTACTCATCAACTCTGGAACGGAGAGTTGATTATCAGAGAAAGACTGCATTAACTCTAGGTTATGTACATGATTTAAACAATATAGAAGAACACCCAAGGCATCCCTGCCATCAGCTAAAAACACAATACAAAAATAATACCAAAGTTTAAAACCTGTATCTTATTTTCCTAGGTAATAGTTGTATTTTTCCCCTGTTTTTTTCCTTTAAGAGTTAAGACACCACTATTTTATGTCTATCCTAACTGCAGCAATTTGTTGTCGACTACTAGTGAAGGGCCTAGTGACGAGATGTAAGCATTATGTGAACTAATAGGCATCTCTTCCCACGTACCAACAACTGCTCAGAAAACAATGCTAACTGCTCAGAAAACAATGCTTGTATTATTTATATGTATATGTGAAATCTACAGGAATCTCTAGATCTGGAGGAGTGCTGTGCTCTTACTAAATGTCTGTAAAAGAACTACTACTCCGCTTCCCTGGACCGTTCCCCAAAATCTTGCCCCCCAACTTTCTAGGTTCCCCCCAGAAGCGTTTGGCAGTATGCTCAGAAGGAACTAAAGGGAATTTCAAAGCTGAAAGACATGCACACACCAAAAAGCAGGCTCTTCACTACCTATCACTGCTGGTCCAAACAGGTGGTTGAACAGATCTCAACTGCATCAACTCTTCACTGGCAAGCACCATGCCAGCCTGGGCACATCCTCACCATGGGATGAATGAGCAAAGGGACCTCAACCAAGGCAGCAGCTCATGGCACTCATCTGAGCTCAGTGGCTTGTGTAACAAGGCCCAAACGAAGCACTGCACTGAGACAGCTACAGGTCTCTGCTGATGCACCCTCTCCTCCAGCTAACACCTCTGCATGGCACGTCTGGCCCTGCCTGGAGAGAGCAGGTCATTCGGAAGCAGTTTTGATCTCCCCAGATGGCACTGCCGTGGGTGCTGGGGGTCCCAAAGCAAGATAAACTCCTAAGACAGAACGAATACCTGGTATCCTGAGCTGCCAAGGGGCAGCCAGGATGAACCACTGAGTGCCAGTATGCAACTTGTGGCTGGAATTAAGATTTTATAAACATATAATCCCACTGTGGCTCTACTTTACCATATCAGTTGTACCATTGCAGCTCAATCCAGAAGTGACAAAGGCCTTAGTAATAGCAGAGTCCATATCTGTAAGATCACAGACTCTTCATCAGAAGATGATGGGGAAAAAAAAACAATCACTGATCAAATGGTGCTTTTTGCTATCAGTAGAAAGAAATCAACTCTGGTTACAAGTGACCGCTAGCTGTCACCATCACAGGTTTTGACTCAGGTTGACTAAGTCACACAGTCACCAAATTAACTAGCTCCTGCCTTACCAACCATATCACTTCAACCCTGCCCAAAACAACTCTCAGATCACTTGAAAATGCCCAGCTTTGGGCACAAACCCTGGAGGAGACACCCAGCTACTCCCTGCGCTGAAGGAAAGCCCAAGGTGACACTGAACTTTTAACATTCCTGAGTAGGGTCAGGGCTTGGAGTATAAACCAAAGGAGGAAAAGTGTTAGCAGGCACAAAGGCAACCTCACTGAAAGAATAGTAAAAGCCCCTACATAACTGTATATACAAATTCTGATTATAGAGAAACAGAGACAGTTAAAATGAAAGAGTTAAAGAAAGAGAAAATGGATACTAGTTTGTTAGCAAATTAAAAACAGACTGGCATAACTGGACCCAGCGTATATAGAGCTAATATCAGAGGATGTAAGGTGTCAATCTCTATTATCTAGAAGCTCCTTATCAATGAGGAAGTAGTTGATGATCATATATTTTTCTGACAAATAACTGGTCTGAAAAGCATTTACTTTTAATGGGCATATTTTCTTGAAAACCACAGACTAGTTTATAAAGAGGTACTATACTACCTTTGGCCCTTTCAGTTAATGGGATTGCTCAGATGAGTTTTGTAGCATTGCTTCTTTACCCTGGCTGGCTAAAGACTAATTGAAAACTTATTTTTGTATGTGTACATTTTCTGTGAAAACCTTTAGAAACACAAGAAAACGGCTGTTGAGACCACGGTTGTCTCTTCACCAGTATCCTGTCTCTAACAGTAGCCATTAAGAAGGTGACTAGGGAAGAGCAAGAACAGGGCAAGTAACTTCCCCCAGAAAAATAATCTCTCAGCCTCTAATGAGTCTCAGCCCAAAATATTTTCTAAGTCTGATGTGGTTTTTTAGGTAACAAAGCCCAGTTTTTTTCCCGTACTTCTCCCACTGAGATAAGATTTTTTGCATCTACAATATACAACAACAAGGATTTTTTGACAGTCCACAGCCTGTTACACAAGCTGTTGTTTGTTTTGAAACTGGCTCTTACTAGCTTTATCTGACAGCCCCCACTTCTACTACTTTGCTTGTAAATTCTGAACACATGAAGGCTCCTGAAAAAATAAACTTAAGGGGTTCCTATGGCCAATATGAAAATATTTTCAAGTTCTAGTGAAATCTTGTAGTTGCAATTAAATAAACCACATCTAATATTAACTAGCCTAATCTAATCACATCTCGTATTACCTGAAGGCATTATGCCAGAAGGTACCTGAAGGTATAGGCATAAAGTATTACCTTTTATCCACGCTATTACCGAACTTGCTAGCTCAGGTACCAAAAAGAAAATAACTGTTCCACTTAGATATATATGCAGACATGCCTTGAAATGAAAGTTATTTTCTGTTGTCATTATGCAGCCAAATTATAACAAGCATGAACTTTTAAATGACCCATATTATATTTACACCTATTTTTACCACACTTGCCATGCTCTCTGTCTTGTTTCAGCTTGCTAAATTAATTTAATAAGTGGAAAAGCAAAAGTCTGCAGTGTGGTTTATTGCTGGTTCAATTTTCTGCATCTCATTTGGAATTTCATCTGGGTTTAAAATACTGCCAGCAACATGAATGCATTAAGCCAATGGAAAAGTTACCTGAATGACCTTATTCATAGCAATCTATTTCCAAGTGATAGGGTTGGCTGAGGCTAGGGACCCTAGCTCTTATTTCCTAAATACCTTTCTGTCTAAAGAAATCACGGTTCCTGAATTCTGCACCCCCGCTCCCTCTTCACTGCATAAGGCAATACCAAGCCACTGAAAACTGAAAAGCAGCTGATATCAACGTTTTCTCCTGAAGCTTCTCCTGTTACTTAGGAAAACCCCCATTTTATTATGGTTTCAGGAACTGCAATCGATCGTTTCCTGTGATGCTTAAATAGCTTTCTTTTTCTGGGGTTTACTCTTAAATGTAAGTCTTACTTTCTGTCATAGCTGGACTCTAGGCTTGTAAATGCTACTTTGTGTCTCAAAGTACCCAAATGTTAGGCACTGCAATATTCAGTATTGCAATACACAAGTTTTTCTGAAGATAGATGGCCAGTTTCAAACCACATACTTTACGGGTTGTAATTTGCAATACCTAAACCTGAAAGTTTTCGGTCCTTCCAGGTGCCAAAGTCAGAAAGGCAGGTTCTGTAACGAATCAAGACAGCTGCCACTTCTAAGATCTCCAAAAATTCAGAACATGGAAGCGGCGGCCTGACCTCCCTCCTGTGACTTTTTGGCTGGCACCCTGGCCAGGGAAGGTGAGATGGGAGCAGAGAGTGATGGCAAGACTGGATAAGAATTGGGTCCAGATGCAATGATCACAATGATCCGTCCAGTGATCACACAGCAAGTCCAAGAGAAAGGAGGGGCAGGCCCTCGCTTCCAGCTTTCTTCACAACAGCTCTTATCAGTGACAGCGCTGACCCCGGACTCAGCCAGCTGAACTCATTAACTCAGGTGACCAAGCTCCTAGAAGTTGGGGGGACACGTTCTGCACCCTGACACTGTATAGGAATATCGGTGCCCACTGCAGACAGCTCAGTGAGCTCCTACACACGGAGCAAAAAGCTGCCCCTTTGTGCTGATAGCCTTCTCCAGAAACACTGTACTTCATGGATTTATAATAGATCTCTTCCAAAGTGGAGGAGGAAGCTTCCTCTTCTTCATCAGCTCTACAGTTGCCCGAGGTGAGAACACTGGGGTTCCAGGTCCTCCTCAACCTGAAAGGGTTCAAACTTACATCTCCTTGATGATGTTCTTATCAGCAAGCTCCAGAATGGCATCTCTTTCCATCCTTCCTGCTGAAGCTGAACGTGATCCCAATCCTGTCCATGTCTCCTCATCAATAACTCTTTACTGCCATCTACAAGCAAAACCTGGAGCAGGGACCAGGACTAAAGACATTTCTTCCAAGGGAAATCTCCTTTCAGAAGGTTTTAAAGTTAGGTTCCTCTCTTGTGTACTCTTTTTTTTTCTTCTGCATCTCTATACATTCCTCATTTTTTCTCCTTTCTCTTCCCTTATGTCCACCATCCATTTGTGCAGTGGTTATGGTGCCCTTGGGGACATCAGGAGTTCAGAGTCAGATTCTCTCTGACTAAATAGCTGGGTAGAGGCTACCATGCATAAGGTGAGCAATTTTTGTAGCAACCAATTTCCTGACTTCCTAGCAAAAACACATTATCAGGCGGTTCTTATCGTCTCCACAATAACTGTTAAACATAGTGGCCAATACTAATAAAGTGGGTATCAACAGGAAACACACATACATCCCTTGTGGATTTGGACATATTTCAAATGCTTCCTTCCCATCTTTGAGTCACAGCAGCTTAAACACCTGCACCTACCTGGCTCCCTAGCATAGGATCTTCTCAAACCACACAAGAGTCTATGCTTGGTCACTTGGAGAACTCTGGCCAAAATACAAACAATAGCTTATTTCACTTCAGTAGTCCTTGAGAATAGGTAACTACACTAATCGCTGAGATTGAAGAGTCCAAAATATGCTTAATCTGGGTTTTTGAAAGAATTCACATATTTCAAACATGTCCCAAAGTC